ATGCTGGTAAAAACCTGTTATAGGCTGAACCTACAGGTTTTGTGAATTTGTTTTCTAAATTATCAGTGGTTATTAATTTTTAAAATATTGAACTTGTAGTTTTGGTTTTCTACTCTTACTTCAGTCACAGAGAAGATTAGGGAGTGCTTTGTGTATGTGTGTATATTTTTTTTTAAGTTTTCTTTTATGTGGCTGTTAACAGCATTTATACATAATTCAGTATGTTCTAGAGCTTGTCACTGATGCCAACAGACTGGGGAGATCTTTTTGTGTTTAAATACATTTACATGAACAAATATTTTCAGCCACTAATTTGGTTCAAAATGAGTGCATGAAGTTCCGTCCCAATTGTTGAATGCCCATACTTCTAATTTATTTGGATTTGTAATCTGTAAATCCAGTTTGCCAAACATAAATCAACAGCAAACGTGCTCATTTTTAATTCCTTTTAAGATGTTACAGTTCATGTACCCAACTGACTGTCCTTCAGCCAGTTAAACCACTAAAAGGGAGGGGTGATGACCTCTGGTTGGAAGAGGGAGTCTCTCACATGGTCTTTGTTGCCAAGAAAGTGTTTGTATGATAAACAAACTGAACTGAGATAAACAAACCAGCTCTATTTTTGCATCTTGCTGTGATAGGTTTCACTGTATCCAAAGTGACAAGTAAACTCTGTTTGGGCTACCATGGTTTTTCATCTTTCTAGGTAAAATTGCAACAATTCTCACTGTAGTGTTTTTGCTTGTCTTCTTTTTGTTTCTTTTGGTCACTCAAGGGAGATCTTGCCACATGTTTGACCTTTAATGAGGTGGAGAAGAAATCCTTTGATTCCCAAAAAAAAAGCCTTGCTGCAGAAAATCAGCACTTAAGAGAATCTCTGGAGAAGGAAGAAAAAGCTTTAGCCTCACTTCAGGAAGAATTAAGGAAGCTGAGACAACAAATTAGAAACTTAGAAGATAAAGGCACTAGCACTGAGTCTATTGTAATGGAAAATCAGAAACTAAGGGAACATTTGGAAGAGGAAAAGCAAAGAAACACGAATTTTCTCAGGCAAAAGGAAACACTCTTTGCAGAGGCACAGATGTTACGGCGAGAACTGGACAAAGAACGTCACGTTACAGAAGCTCTGAAGAAAGAACTGGAACAGTTAAGTTCTCGTCAGACACCTGACAGTGCTAGTGATGATGATGATGATGATACATTAAGAGAAAATCAGGAAATAGAAACTCTACGAGGTAGACTTGTAGAACTAGAGAAAAAGCTGAACTTTGAGCAACAGCGCTCTGACTTATGGGAGAAGCTGTATGTTGAAGCAAAAGACCAAACTGAAAAACAAGAAATTAATGAAAATTGGCAAAAGAAAGGTGCTAAAGGGCAAAGTAAGACTAGAAAGAAATCAAAGGAATCATTTTTTGGTTCAGTTAAAGAAACTTTTGATGCTATGAAAAATTCCACGAAAGAGTTTGTGAGACACCATAAAGAAAAGATTAAGCAGGCTAAAGAAGCAGTGAAAGAAAACTTGAAAAAATTCACTGATTCCGTCAAGTCGACATTCAGACACTTCAAAGACAGCACAAAAAACATCTTTGATGAAAAGGAGAAGTCATCAAATGATAAAAGACACGAGGCAAACAAGAAAGCTCGAACTTTTTACCGAGACCATAACTCCTACGAGAATCAGAAGCACACACACTACAGGGGACCCAACAATCCAAAAGATTTCAAAAGTGGAAGAAAACATCATTTTACAACATTTGAAAAAGATGCAGATTCTCAGAAATGTCTCAATGATGATTTGTGTAATAGAAAAAACCACTTTGTTCTAAAGGGCTGCTCTGGTATTTTTGAATGTGCTCATCAGGAATTCATTAGTCTCTTTAACAGAGTATCAGACCCTATCAGGGTGGATGAATTTAATCGGCTAATGAAGAAGTATTTGCAGCAAGTTGTACATAACTTTCATCACTGGAGAGAACTAGAAAATTTCATCAATAAGTTCTTTCATAATGGGTTATTTATACATGACCAGATGCTGTTCACTGATTTTGTCAATGATGTCAAGGATTACCTGGAAGATATGAAGGAATACCAAAGTAATAATGAAAAGGTTTTTGAAGATCTGGACAAATACGTCTACAGATACTACTTTCACTATGATAATTCACCCCAGTATGGACCCAGGTTTGTTTCTGTTTCCTGAACTTGATAACACAATGAATTAGTTTTTGGAAAGACAGTCAGTGTCCTTGTTCTAATAGACGCTCTTCAAGAGGGTCTATGGAGAGACATACACACTGGAAGACTTTCTGAAGGACTGTGTGGAAATACTTGATTGTGTTACATAAAGTGGATCTGTAGTACCTTACATATAAATTTTGTGTGTGTAAATAGCACAATCTAATGTTTCTGCTGGGTTCTTTAGAAAACACTGTAACTGTCAGTAGGATTAAACAGCTCTTATTGCCTGTCTGATGGAATGAATAGCTGTTTTGAAAGGAGCATTAACTAGGACTTCATTGTTGTCCTTCCCTGAATGAGGTTTTTGAATGTATTTGAGCAGTCTGAGTCCTGTTCTGACAGGTATATTCCCTGTTGGCTTTTCAGGAATTTCACTGCTCTTGCAGCTTAGTTAGTCTGAGCTGGTCTGTAGGCCCAGAGCAGAGTTCATCACAGAGCAGGCTTTAGTCCAGGTCCTGACCCTGACTAAATTTTGTTCAGACTTGCTTCCAAAGGTCCTTGGCATGAAATGTTTCCTGTGTTACTGTCCTGTATCTAAAGGTATTCCCAGGGCATTTGTGGTGTGCAGCCTGGCTGGCCCAAAGCTGATCCATGTGGTGGACTGTTAGTACTGCAGACACTTTGGTGACAGTTTAGCAAGCAGCCTCACTACAGTGTGTGGAACTTGGCCTTTCTGGACCACTTATTAAAAGCCACATAAAATAAATACTTACCATTTCTCTTACAAAATTGTCTATATAGTCCCTTGTACTAATGTTTATTTTGATCAGACAAGAACAAATGCAATGTATGAACTAATTTATAACACGTGAGAAGTTGTCCTTGTTGCCACACACTTTTTCTTGTGTTGGTATTTAGTGCAAAGCATATTTACTATTTAGATCAAGGTGCAGTTCTTCGGTCAGGTTTCTTTTGTGCTTGTATTGCTTATTATTTCATGCATTTTATTGCATCTGGAAGTCTGAATTATTAAATACTTTGAGGTTTCTAAATGTTATGTGAAGTAGTACTTTCTCCTGTAGAAAGTTGAGCCATGAGGATGATGATCCTATTATCAGCTCCCAAGTAGCCTTTTTAATATGCAGTTTTGGCAAATGGATAAGTATTATGTTTTTATTTACAGTTCAAATACATATTCCTAATTTATTATTAAAATGAACTTTAATTTTTAATTAAATACTTAGTTTTTGATAATTTATTTTAGTTTGCAGAGAAACAAGTGCAAATTCACTTACTGATAGTATTATATAAAAGTTTGTGTGATGAAAATATTCTTAATTTACCCTTGCAGAAGGCTAGAGACAGCAGTCATATGGTAACAGCCTGTAGTGTAATGGGACTGTTTGCATAAAAAACTGCATCCCATGAGCAGCAGTGTTTTGCCAGTGCCCCTTGTCTCTGTATAAATGTACTTGCTGTACATGAAAACCTCTGCAGTGTCCATCTTTACTCAAAGCATCCTTTCCTCAGTGCCTGTAAAGTTTTCATTATTTCTATAGAGCAGAGTGTAAGAGAGTAACTGAGACCTCACCCAACCCATCACAGGAATAATCAAATAGGTGTTTACCTGGCTTTATTCTAAAAAGGTCTTTGGGCAACCAACTGCAGAGCATTTTTATTTTTAGAAAGCACTTCTTTTGTATATACTGCCCTACTGATGATTTAAACTAACAAATCCCTTACACATTTTGCTTACACGAGAAAGGACTGCTTAGTACTGATTTTTTTTTCAGTCAACCTCTGCATGTTAAAAGCTGTTCTAGACAATGAAATTGTGTTTCAAAATGCTTTTAGATAGATGTTGTCATAAGGGTAGTAATAAGCTTTTGTTTACTTCTTGCAGTCGACCTAAAAGACCTTCTTTTACACAAACTGAAAATTCCAGACATGAAAAACCAGCTCAGAAGTACCATCACCGTAATAAAAGAGAAGGTAAATGGCATAAACATGGTCGCACTAATGGAAGACACATGGCAAACCTTGAAATAGAATTGGGGCAACTACCCTTTGATCCAAAATATTGAGTAATTTATTGTAAAAATAAGATTAGAATTCACACCCTCTCTGGAAACTAATCGTTTTTCAACAAAGCAGCAAGATGCAAGCTTTTTTTCTGAATAATTTGATTTTTACACATTTTTGTTAACAGGCAGGAGTCAAGCTTTCTAATTTGCATATTCTGTACCATTGCTTTAACTGTTCTTTGGAAGTGATGACAGTTTGGGTGCCAGCAGTATTGTTGCAGAAACTAGGCATGCAATGACTTGTGTATGAAAAATATGCTTAATTGCATTCCAGTAGTGTAGCTGAAGCTTGAACCGTGCATAATAACTCCAATGTTTGATATACTAACTTCATCTCATCCTTCAGAAAATAAGTCTACATTGTGGTGATGTATTTGTTAGTGTTTGTAACCTTATATTTGCTTCCTGTCTTTGGGGGGTGGTTCCAGAGCCTGTTGAATTGTGAAGAATTTGCTGTGCTGCATTCTAATCAGCTTGCTGATTTAAACACTTGAAATGTCTTGCATATCTGCATATTGTAGAAGAAAAATAAAGAGACATTGTGGGTAAAAGTCTTTATTTATAAAACAAACTTAGCATAGCTGTACAGTTCTATAAAAATGGTCCAATCTTGTCTATTTTTTGATAGTGTAAGTATTTATATGGTAACTTTGGTCTTCCCAATGTTTTCTGGTGTTGTAAGGTAGGTCAGCAACCCCAACCTGCCCTATTGCTACTGAAGTTGCCTTCAGGAAGGAGTTCTGTGTTTCCAGACAGCCAGTGGCTGCCTAACAATTCCCATTCAACTTACCCAGTTTCAGACTCACTACTCTCTCCTTTCTGCAGTATGAGATCTTCTAGGCATAGTTATCGCTGTGCAAAACTGATCTCATTAGCTCTCAGTTCTAGAAACTCTTCAGGTATTTCAGCTTTTCTCCTGTAAACAGAGATGTGGCTTCCAACTCGTCCTTGAGGCACATGAGTATGAAAGACAGTGGCTGTTTTCTCATAGCCCCTCGAAGCTAGAAATGGTGTTACTTCCTGTTAACAAACATACATCAGTTACAGTCAGAAAGTGCAGTTGGGAGCACAAGTACCAAAGTCTTCTGAAAGCCATCAATTCAACTGTCCCTGGGAAGCTTTATCCTTTATTTTAGGAAAGCCTGCTAGGAAAAGAAGTCCCTATCCTGTTTGATCCTGTCCGGAGTGGATATTCACCAGACACCACTGTTTTGAGTGCATGGACTTCATTAAAGACTTGAGGGGGTAAAAGGTACTGTGACTGCTGGCATTTTTGCTTTTTGTTGTTGTTTAAAAGTGCAAGTTCTGGGAACAGATGGCACACTTGTTTTAATAGGGATGGAGGAGAATTCCATAAAACATTACTTTGTGGTTCTCACAGAGGTGAGGGCATATATGGACATTAAGTATGGATCACTGGAGTGGTATCAATACCCTATGTGCTAGAGGGTTCAATTTTAATTTAAGCTGTGTTTTATTAAAAAGTTGTGGACAATAATTTTCAAAAACCTTAACTATATACTCTCCCCTAATTTATTTTGTATCCTCAAAAGTAGTTTATTTCATCTTGTATCCTCAAAAGTAGTTTATTTCATCTTGCAGTTACCATACCTGTTCTAGCACATTGAAGAGGATCAAGTGACTGGGTAATAATGTGTCATTGTAAAACTCCTTATTGAGCCAGCCAAGTGGATCAGAGTAAAACACATCTGCTTCATCAGTGTAGTTCTCACTGCCCGTTAGGTCTGGGGGACACTGAAGGAATCTCATTTTTAGAGGACAGTGAACATGACTAGGGAGAAAAACAAAAACACATTTCATGATAAACTGATCAGTATCTAAGATTTAAAATGACTTATCACTTTAAAAGATACGTCAGTCAAAACCAAAATTGATTAGGTTTTCTTCCCCTCAGTCATATTTTCTTCCCCTCAGTACTTCATATGAAAGCAAAGTAGAACAAGCAGATTCAGCTCCAAATTGCTGTAACTCTCGTTTGCAGTTCACAGAAATTTTATTTTAATAAAAATACCATCTGCACATCAGTTTCTTAAAAAGATACTTTTCCGTATCAGCTTTACTTTAATGTTTTGTTTACTTGCCAGGATCTACTGCAAAGCTTTTGGAATAGTGATCTCAGTCACTGTAATTGTATTTCTTTACTGCCTAGCAGCAGAAGTAAATGGAAAATTAATACAGTTTGATTGTAACAATTAGTACCATAATGAAGCAGTGTGATGTACTTGGAGAAGTCATTAGATTAACTGCATATCCTCATACAAAGCTATTACAAAAATGAATAAGGCTCAGATGCTGAATTTTATTCTGTGGTATAAGCATTTGGCTTATGTCCCCTATCTGTTTTGTATTAACTGTACAAAAAATTAAAACTCTTCCTGTATACATTTATCTTTCTCAATAAGGCTTTGGAAAAAAAATCTTAATTTCTGATTAAGTGTATGGATTTGAATACAGTGCACTGTTAACTCTTTCACTACCTGTAAAATGGAGTAGAGTGGCATGGCATCATGATGAAGACAAAGGCTTGTGACTGGTCTGAGTTGTGACAGAGCTGCTGTATGTGACTCATAACATCCAGAGCGCCTCGCTGGTGAATCAAGCCTGTATACAGGGCTGGGAGGAGATTGGATAAGAGCAGGAAACTTGCTGCAGATTTCTTCCATGCTTTCAGGTGTTTCAAAGAATATCCTACAGAAACATTGGAGTAAGTTTGGGAGATTAGCAAGCACTAAAGTTTCACACAGTTTTAAAAGTACCATAATATACTGGCAGACCATAACTCAGTACTTTGCTTTGAGATACTTTACTACAATGTTCTTTGAGCCTTTACTCTTTGGAAATTCAAAGGTTAGACTTTGCCCTTTTCAGCTCTTGGATTTAACAGGGTAAATCGTAAGCCCACACCTGTCTTCTGAAGTACAGAAATACTGTTTCAAAACCAGTGCTTTGTCTCTTTAGACTTTGAATTTAATTTCTTACAGTGAAAACCAGTCCATTCAGTAGTTTGGATGAATGGCATGTGGCAACTTCCTGCTGTGTTCTGAGTCACGCATGTCTGAGTAGAGCCAGAATAAATGGTACCTACATGTGCATGGCTGTGTATTCTTTTTCTCCAAAATGCTGAAAGCTTTAGCATTCCCTTACTGTTATTAAATTTTGGGCTACTGTCCTTGGAAGAGCACACTCCTCCATTTTTTCCCATCTCCCATCGCTTCCCCTTTCCCCCACTTTTCTTGAAGGAGCTAATAATGGGAAAAGATGTTTCTCATGGTGGGAGATGGTTGCAGAAACGTGTTTCTCACCACCACAACTTAGATGAACGTGGCACAGACAACAGCTTCATGTTGCAGCTAGTCTGGAAACCCTTATTAAGTCATGTGCTTGTCAGCATCAGGAGGTAAAAATATTTTATGTAGCTTTGTGACTACCTGTCCTGAATCACAAGAAACAAGCTACAGTAGGCCTGTTCCAGGCGTCACTAACAAGCAAATTAAATTAGTGTTCAATCGGTCTGTTCTGACAAATTGTCTTTATCTTGGTTGAAAACAAAGTCCACAAGTAAGTTTTGTGGTTTAAACACAAGTGGAAACATTCTAATATAGGAATTTTGAGGATTTTTTAATTGCTTTTGTGAAATGCTCTGAGCTTATATTTGTGTGCTTGGAAATTACTTTAAAATTCATGTGGGGTTTTTTTTCTGCTTTTATTTATAATCTTTTGAGCAATTAGGACCTTTCTGTAACCACTGAATTAACAAAAGTAACTTTTATATTTTTTTCTTTACTAAAGTATCCAAACATGATAAGGAGTTGTTAGTAAATTGTATCAAGACCTTTGCAGACATGAAGGTTAAGAGGAATATTAAAAACAAATAGTGGTTTGATTGGAATTGTTCTGCATGTGAGGTAGAACAGGTTCATCCTGCTGCTTTTGAACTAAGCCAAGACTTATTACATATTTGATCTCAGCAGAGAGCAAAATTATTGAAATAAGATTTACTTTTGTTTAGACTAGCAAAACAGGTTAAAGAAAATTAGTGTTCAGTTTTGAACTTCTGTTTAAACCAAAGCTATACACCTTCCATGTTCCAGAAGTTCTAATCTTCCTTTGTAACATCTGAATCTAGAAAAGGGTTATTTTACATTTTTAGTGTTTTTATTTTGTTGTTGCATAATTAAAGGCATTTCTCAGGCATATTGGAAAGAACTATGTGGAAAAATACTACGAAAGAGCCAAGGAATAAGATTTCACTGTAAGGCAGTGCTGAAAATTCAGGAGTCACTGACACCACTGTCATATTTTGCAGGCAGTACTTTTATCTGTGCTAAGGATTCTCCACCCGTGTTATTGCTCTCCCTCATGTTTTTTTTCCCCCTCTTTTTTGCTATCTGTAAGAAAATGTTAGGCTGGTTCTAAGAATCCTGTCTCAAATACCTACATTGACTATTAACAGTCTCTCTTTGGGTAAAAATTGAATACAGGTAAGGTTGCAAGACATTGGAAACCAGTGCTTACCACAAAAAAACATGCAGAATGGCAGTACTGGATAGATGAACCTGAACTCCTTGTGGCTCAGTGTGCTGGAATAAAACATACAATGCTACATCAAGAAAGTTAAATGCATCAGTTCTGTGGGCAAAATGTGTTTTAGAGCTCAGAGGACTGGAAGAAGAGCACTTGCATGTTTTAAAAAGCTTTTGGCATTGAAGCAGTTTAGAGTAAAAATCTGAATTGTCACTTTTTTAAGGATAAGTACATTCAAATGAAGATCATTTAGTCAGCTTAAACCAACGACTGATTAAAATACCTGGATACTACTCTTGCAATTAAGTGGTCTGATTCTTTGAACTAGGTATAATTTTGCCAGTAATTCACCAATTTGTTTTCTGTAATAAGACACAATAAATAGTGTGGATGAGAAGCTGAGATTCTCTTCAGTGCACATTTGTACTAGCAAAGTAACAGTCACCTCTACTAATACAACTTTACACAATTTCCCATGTCAGCTTTTGGGCATTATTGCAAAACTTGTAGCATGGGAACCAAACAGGTTCTTACAAGACTAAGGGAGGTTAAAAAGTCCTAAACCCAACAGAGCTACATCCGGTTTTGAGTTGGAGTGTAAGAAGAAATGACATTTCTGGTTTTGCTACTATTTTGCTGCATTCTGTTACTACTGTAGTCTAATACCATTTATTGCTTAGTATTTATTTATTTTAAAATATTACTATATTTTTTTGTCTGAAAGTGTCTCTCCTGTTTAATCTACAGCTAATTCTGATGCTTTAGTAAAAGCTTACCTTTTCTTCTGTTCTCAGCTTAAGCTGAGAAATACAGATTTATGATAGTCAAGAGCTGTGTGTAAAGTTGGGAATGGAGTAAGTTTTAGAGGCTTAAGAACCTCTCATCTTACTGGGGATGTACTGAACAACCAAATGAAATGGTGTTTTCATTAACAGGCATCTAGTAAACACAGTATCCTAATTAGTTTTGCTGTTGCTTAAACACTTGCTAGGTGATTGAGTGTTAGTTTGGTTTTTTTTCTCTTTCATTTTTCATTGCAGTTCATGCTGAATTATTTTATTCTTTAAGGGTTTAATCAATTCTAAAAATACACGTTTGGTAACAGTGCAACAAGTAGTATTATGTAAAATTCTAGGAACTGTTTTATAATTGACTGCATTTCTTGGAGCGTTTGAATAGTTTTGTTTCTATCACTTAACCTGAATACTGTGCTAATTTGTTCTGGAAGGCCTTGACCTTTCAAAAGAACACAACCAGTGAGAGGTAGTAGTTACACTTAGGAGAAATTACCTGTACACCACCAGTGTCCAGATCACAGCCACGAGGAAGATGCGGTATCGTTTTGGTGCCAGCACACAGCCATGAATAAAGAAAGGCAGGTGGGCACCCAGGATGACTGGGAGTCCCTGAGTGAAGTACCAGTGCCAAGGGTGAGATCCATAAAATGTTCCCAAATTCTGCAGCACGTTGAATTTCAAGAAGTTCAGCTGAACCAGTACCCACTGGGAGATGGGGGAGAGTTAGATACAAATCCAAAGTCAAAACCAACAGCAACATTGAGTTACACTGGCCTTAAATGATACAATGTTTTCATTCACACTTTGGTTTGGTTTTTTTCCTCTTAAGACTCATCATGGACTTCCTATATTCAGCAGTTAAACACAGAAGTGTGTAAGTTTGTACTTTGTTGATAACTCCTGATAGCTGAACATTCTGATTTTATGTAACAATCATTTGAAATAACTGCAAAGTCAGTGTTTAAGAGTTTGTGGCTTAGGATATATGTAGAGATCAGAAGCCAGAGACTGTCACAGAAACAAGAGAAGTCTGAAACATCCATCAGTGTTAAAATACTAAACCCCAGCCTTCTTCTTATAAGTCAAGTTTAAAACAGCTTACCTCACCAAAAAACACACGATCAATTATTAAAGAGGTTCCTACTGTGACCAATCTGCAAAAATGGAAAGTTTGTTGCACTGATATTGCCTGAATTGCTTTTGTATCTTCTCCAGAAGTTGTCAAAACTCCCTGATTCCTAATATTTTTGAATCTGTCCATACTCGTGGCCATTCTACAGGGGCTACTTGTTATCACCCGGTATCCTTTGCACGATCCCAGATTAAGGTGGAATGCTGTTCATTGTCTCACCCTCATGAAATCTTTCCTAGTGCTATTTTGCAGAATATAAATCAATTTAAAGGAAACATGGCCCTTCTTTAAACTTTTGCAAAAAAGACTCTATTTGTTCCCATGTTTTTTTAGATGGAATCAGCTTTTTGGTGTTGTCTACCTTTGCAATGGTAAAACCAATCTTAAAATGTAGCTGTGCACAGTCACAGTTTAAATTCAGAAAGAACTTACCCAACTGGAATGCAGTTTTGTAGGATAAGGTCTGCTTTCCTCTGTTCTTGCAAAAAATGGCTGAAGACCAAAGGCATCCACAGGATAACAGCAGTTGGACGAATAACAATTGCAAGTGCTACCAAAGCTAAATATTTGCAACTAGAAGGAAGAACGTAAAAACCCCAGAAGCTTAGCAAAAGATTTGGTCAGTTCTTTTGCAGACAATGACATTTCAACAACTGAAATCTTGTCATGGCTCTGGCCAAAAGGGGTTCATACTACAGGTAACTTAGATTCTCTCACTGAAGATACTCAGTTTAACTGGGAAAGCTCAACTACAGAACTGCTTTATTGGCAATGGAACTGCTACTTAGAAGCACATACTTGCTTTAAAATAGATAGCTGGTGAAGAAAGTTGTGACCACACATTCACCCATATCTGAACCCCAACAAAGCTTATCTTTTCCCAAGTTACCTCATATGCCAGTCCTTTAAAATAAAGCTTCCCGTAAAGTCATACTTTACATAAGGAAACTGAGGAATAGTTAATTTTACATACCAGCTATAATATGACCTCAAAAAGAATCTTTAGAGGAAATACCATAATGTTCCTTCCATGAGCTAAAGCTCCTGCTACGTGAATGAGGTGGCTTTGGTTGCTTAGGTTTTAAGATAAAAGCATTTTAAACAATATCACTCCAAGCCAAAATTGATCAGTAATGTTTCTCACCTGTTACCCATCTTGGAACCTTTTATCGGATAGTATGAAAGAGCAAAAATGGTAAGAATAGTTTCCATGGTGTTTGTGAGAGTTCTGGTACAGGAATACCATGTAAACCAGGAACACAGCTGGCAGAAGAACTGGAAATAATTATGAACATGTTAAAACAAGTTCACTTAAATGAAAGGTGGTACTTCTTCAAGGTATGACTTATCAATTTGCTGTTGTTTACATTGCAAAAGCAGTGTTTATTTACATATTTTTTTAAAGGCTGTGACTCACCACGCACTTTGCTGTTTCTGCATTTTCAAGGTGTTGCACTAAGGAGTAAAGCTTCACATCAGCAAAAGCAGCCAGCACTGCCTGAGCAAGCCTAGGGACCCAGATCTGTGTAGATCAGAGAGAAAACTGTACTTGCAACAAACCAAGTAAATTCCAAGTTCTAAGAGAGGACCACTGAATTAGTGAATGACTGTTCGAGTATGAAAATAGTGATTAGTGAATATTCTCTATAGATTTCTAGGATTGTAAAAAAGAAAGGGTCCTTGGGTAAGACTAGTATTTCTGCCAAAACATCTAAAGTTCAACTGAAAACATTCAGAGATGGAAAGTTGAATTCTTTGCCATTTATCTCCAATAAAAATCAAACCAGGATGGTGTTAATTGTGAGTTTAGTACAAATATGTATTGTTAAACACTTAGGCAAACTGAACCACTGAGCAATTATGATATAGTGGCAAACCCTATCAATCTGGAAGTCCAGGAAATTGATGGAGGCCAGGAATAATACTCTGCAGTTGCAGGCATCAGTGCTATGACTGGGGTCCTGTGGGTGCATTCTGCCTCCACGGGAAACACCTGCTTATTCATCTCTAGTTGCCAGATCCAAGGCTTTGCACTTCATCTGGACAACGATAAAAATACTCTGTCTTTAAATACAATGCTTTTACTCACCAGCAGCTGAACATCATCCTTGCCCAGCAGCTGTAACGCTTTGTAGATGCTGGCAAAGATCAGTGGATACGAGTAGCCCCTTAAGCTATTTGCCCATTCCCAAGTCAGGTGACCATAATTATGAATATTAAGGATCACGAACAACTGAAACGAAAAGCTTCACTCGAGCTGTCCCGGTCATTTCCTTGCGGGCCAAAAGCCTTGGGGTATTTAGTACTGGTCAAGCCAACACTTTACTGCCGCAGAAACCTGTCCCCGAGCCCGCAAACCTGTCCCCGAGAGCTCCCCCGCTCCCGGTACCGCGGGGCCCGATGCCGGGAGAGCGGGGGCCGCGGCCCGCGAAGGATATTTGAAGACCATGCGATGCGCCACCTCCAGCGACTGCCAGTACTCGTCCGGGACGAAGCTGGTCCGGACGAGGACGCAGTTGAGCGCCCGCAGGGCCACGGCGAGCGCCAGCAGCGGTGCGGGGGCGGCGACACCTGCGGGGGGAGGCTGATCCGTCCCGGGCCCCTGCGGAGCCGGGACGGGCGGGGAGGGACGGGAGGCGCGGCCCGCGCCTCCCGTCCCTCCCCGCTCGTCCCGGCCCCGCTTACCGGCGTCCGGCTGCGCGGCGGCCCCGCTGGGAGAGCTGTACAGCACCGAGCGGCGCTGGCGGAGCCGCACCGGCCCCGGCATCCCGACGGGAACCGCCCTCCGCCGGGCATCCGCCACCCGGGGGCGGGACAGCACCGCCTCTTCCGCCCGGTCACCGCAGGCAGCCCGCCCCGCGGTTCAGGTGAGGGCGGCGGGCCGCGGTGTGTGTCTGTGCCGGGGCGGAGCTGCCTGTGCCCGCTGTCCTCGCTGTCCCCGCGCTGCCAGGGCCGGAGGAGCCGTGTCCGTGAGGGCCGCTATGGGGGGGCGGCTGCCGCTGCCGCACGTGGCCGTGGCCGTGGCGCTCGGCGTGGCCAGCGGGCTCTACATCTACGGCCCGCTCTTCCAGCCGCCGCCGGGCCCGCACCCCGCCCAGGGCACCGCGGGGCCGCCGCCGGGCGCCACCGCCGCCGCCGCCACCGGGGACAAAAGACCCTGAGGGAGCCGTGTGGGCCGCGCCGCCCCCCTGGCGCCGTGCCCGCGTCCCGCCTCTCGTAGCCCGATCGCCGCCCACCGATAGAGACGGAGCCGGGAACGGAGTCACCGGGAACGGAGTCACTGCGACCGTGGCCTGCCGGGGACTGTCCCTCCCGAGCGCCGCTGCAGCCCGGCCCCGCGTGGAGCGATCCGCCTGCTGAACCTGTACCCGCGCCCGTGTGTGTTCGGTACCCGCCTTAAAGGACGTGTTGACATGTGAATGTTGACGTGTATATAAAGTTATGAATGTCTGAAAGTATGTCCTCATGTCTGAATTAATACAGTAACTCCAGGGAACTGGAAAAAGAAAGGCATCGTTGTACAATTACATTTCATGGGTTTTCTTGGATTGCCTCTGATCTGACCCTCCAAGTGATAAATACCGTCTTTATCTGCTTCTCCCGGTTTCAGTTCTTAATATGTCAGTTGGGAATGCAGTTGTGGGGATGGCTGGGAAAGGAAGTGCACCCAACGTTGTCCTTAGCTTGTAGTCATACCTGTCTGTATATACATACGCACATGTACCACACGTGCACATACACATCCTTAATTCCTGACAGTGAAGCTACACTGGCTGTTTAATAGATGTCTGCCCAAAAACCAGGTTATTCTTGGAGAAGAGCCTCAGCATGTAGGACAGTATGATTCTTGAAATAGATGTGGAGTAGTCTGACAGAACAGAATCTGAGACTCGGGGAAAGTAGATCAGTAGGTATGTCAAGACTTCAGTAAATCTAAAAAAAAATCAAAGCCAGCAGTTCTTGGGACAAACTTCTGTCAGGTTTTGGTTTTGACACTGAATCTTGTTTGGACAGCATGAGGGAAGAAATCCTTTCCCTGAATGTCTTTTAAGTCAAGAATAATGTGATGGCTGGATGCATTGGATAGACTTCATGGAAGCTGAGATGGGAGGACAGTAGAAGGTGGACTGGGAGGTGCAGCTGAGTGCAGTAATTTTAGTTTGGACTTGACATTATGTGGGTGGTACCTTTAAACTGGAAGAGGGCAGGTTTAGATTAGATATTAGGAAGAATTTTTTTACAGCGAGGGTGGTGAGGCCCTGGCACTGTTGCCCGGAGAAGCTGTGGCTGCCCCGTCCCTGAAGGTGTTCCAGGCCAGGTTGGATGGGGCTTAGAGCAACCTGGTCTAGTAAAAGGTGTTTGTCCATGGTGGGGGGGTGTTTGGAAAAAAATGGTCTTTAAAGTCCTTTACAACCCAAATCATTCCATGATTCTATGAGGAAACGCCACAAATCTGCCACAAAAGTTCAATGCAAACACTACCGCAGTGACTTCAGCAGCTTCCTTTATTTACGATAGTACTGTAAATTGAAAAGGCTGGTTTTGTAGAGGTGTTGCTCAACTCTAGTCGGCACTTTCTTCGTAAGTGTAATTGCTGGAATTGTCCATAAAGATGGCAATTGACTTTGAAAAGGCTTAAGAAAGAGGATGTCTGGTGCAGATGGAAAGGGTTATTGATGCAACTGAGTTTCAGACTGGACTTGTTGGATTCTTGAGACTGCTGGACTAAAGAGAGCGGAGAGGACTCTTGCCAAAACAGGCAGCCAGCAGGCGGCAGGAAAAACTCACTAAACCCGCAGTGGTGGGCATTAACCAGGCACCGCGGATTTTCTCTCTGAAACCTGCTTTGCCTCTCATGAATTTTTATTCGGCGGCGCGAGATCTTCCAGAAAGGCGAGGCGGAGGAGAAGGGCTGAGCAGCCATCCCAGGTAATGACAGACGAGCATCGCCCGGCGCTGCCCCCGGGCCGGGGCCGCGCCCGCCCAGGTGCCCGCGGCGGGGGGAGCGGGAACGGGATCCGCCGGGGCGGTGCTGCCCGCCTCGCCCGGCCCCTGCCCGCCCCTACCTCAGGCCTCACGGGAAGTGATGTTGCCTTGACGGAAAAGACACGGTTGCGGCCCGAAAAGGGGCAGGTGCGGCGGAGGCGGCGCTGCGGGAGCCCCGGCGGCCGGGGGAGGTGAGCGGGGAGGAGGCAGCGCAGGGTGCACGGAGGGGGTCGGGGGCTGCAGGGGGAGCGGCTCCGCTGAAGGGGGTTAATAGGGGTCTGGGGATGGGGGTCTGGGCAGGGAACTGGGAATACCGCCGTTCCATAGGGCTGCCCCACCGCCCAGCCCCGCCCCGCATCCCGCTCCGCATCCCGCTCCTCCAAAGCAGCGTCCCGGGGGGGGCTTTAACAAAGGGAGATAAAATCGTGAGATAAAAGGGAAACGGCTGAAGCTTCGGCCTTTCGACTGCCCCGCATGTGCTGAGCTTCACAGCTGCTGCCGTGAACGCGCTGACACTAATCCCTCTCAGGCCTTCGCCTGTAGCAGCTGTAGGACCTGCGAGTGTCCCACTGCTACCGACGGGCGTTTCTTTTTTTACGAAAGAGAGCTGGATCGCGTGTCTGATTTAATTTTGGGGAAAAAAAAAAAAAAGGCTTTAAAAATGGTAGGTCGTTGAGGAAGCTGTGTGCTTTATCTGCTTAGCCAGAACTTAAATCTTATATTTGAGTATCAGCAGATCTGTTGCTTCTTTCTGAACACTGCATGTTTGTCTGACAGGCTGCTTGCTGGGAAGGTTCAGAAGGTCTCCTCGGCCTGATTTGCAATGCTTGGGCTAAACTAAGGCTTTGATGATCTTGGATCTAAAGAAAGCTAAGTCCATCAGAAAAGCATATTGTTTTTTCTAGCTCTGTAAGTATATTAATATATAAGTATATTAATATATAAAAGGTATTTTTTATGGTGGTAGCAAAGTATAAAGGACATGCCTAGAACTTTCAAAATCACTCAGTTTTTATCACTTCTTGGAGGTGCATCAGGAATATTTTGAGCTTTCTGGTCCTCAAACACTTTCCCTCATGGTTAGTGCTTATGAGTTTTTCATCAGCATAACACATAGACATGTTTGGGGTTAGGAGTTCTTCTAGGTGTTACTGGCAAGGTGATGTTTTTCTGTACTTAAAATTTTTATCAAAACTCTATAAAATTTATTCTTGCTGCCTTTTCTTGGAAATTTAATCTTAGGTAGACATCTCTTCTCAGTCCTTCTTTCTCTTCATAGACTTTACTTCTGTGACTGTTCCAAGAATTTGCCAGCCAGGGAAATGCATATAGTACAATATGCATTTCAAATGTTGATATGTAAATGTAGGAATAGTATTTGTGATGCTAAACGGATGTCTCAAAAGCATGGTTAAGATGATGGATAAAAGAACAGCATGTTCCTGTGTTTCTTGTTCAGGGTTCTAATTTTACATCTACTTAATCTCTTGCACAAAGGAGTTTGGGAGAGGGGGTGTGCTACAACTTACTCTGTTTTATTTTTACAGTTAATTAAATTTCCCATCAGCACCCAGGTATCTAAAACCAGACTGTAAGTCTGTTTTGCTACTATCGTTAAACATGGGAACACATTATTTTATCACTTGGCTACACATTTCCTTTTCTTTCAAAAAGAAGATAAGGGGAGATAAAAGAATTTTTAAGTAGCTTTTAGCTTTTACAGAAACAAGTATTAATAGCCGTAATCCTTGTGTGCCTTTGAATTCTTGGCTGTTCTCTTACTGCCAGGTATCTGCTGTGCTGGTGCAGATCAACACCATGACTAAGAGCAGTTGGTCATAGACAACAGAGGGGTAGTTAGAATTTAATTTAGAAACAGACAAAATTGGCACTAGAGATGGACTACAAAGAATGACAACTCTTGTTCCCGTCGATGTCTCAGCAAATAATTAAGTTGCATTTAAAATGTATTAAATGCATTATTTAAATAGTTAATCATCAAATGTTCCCTTCTGCATTAAAACTGCATTGTTGTACTCCTCTGCATGTGTGATCTGGTCCTGCAGAGGGTTACTTAGATATCTGTAGCAAACCACGTGCTGGGCTGGGCATGTGAAGTGCTCAGGAAGTTCCTTTCGCTCCTCATCTTGCAGATACCACTCGTGCTGCAGATACAATCATGTTTACACCATTAGCATCAAACATGGCTAAAAAGTTGTTTAAGTACAGCATGGTTTGAGAAATACTTACCCAAAAGGCAGCTTTTTATAGCAGAAACACATTTTTTCTTCTATTTATATAAATATATTCCCAACCGGTTTTCTCTGGGAATAGCATCTGATTATGAGATTTCTTTTTCTCCTTTCTTTTGTTCCTCTTTTTAATCAGAATTGCCTCCCTGTCAGAAGGCAGGACTAACTTGAATTGCATTAAATCAGCTGAGATCACACCCTTTTATCTTCAATGGAGGTAAACCCGTAATCCTGGCCCAGACTTTCTTTCCTGGAACATCCTTATATTGTTTTGTTATCATACATAATAAAGCAGAATTTACTTTTGATTGTTGTAAGAAGTAGTCTCAGTAGCCTGTGATTTATTTTCCAATCTAATAAGCTTTGAAGATTAAGTTATGGCATATAGATTAAAATATGACATATAAGCAGCACAATTTTTTCCTGTGATGTTGATGTGACTTCAAGGGGTTGAAAATGCTCTGGTGTATGCGACAGTTTTGCATAGTATCAGGCGGTGGAATCCTTTCCACAGACTGGCCAGCATTTTGGAGCTCACCTAACAAGTTCTTCAGTATTTTAAACTACTGCAGGAAAAAAATGGTCCTTGCTTTTATGGGTCTGAAGATAATATCAAAGTGTAAACCAATGTATCTCTATTTTCCTGAGTTTCCAAACACATTTCCCGTAGCTGTTCCATTTCTGTCTGTCTGATATTTTCACCGATGTGAGATGGGTAAAAATAAAGCATGTTAGAAAAAGGCACTTCTGGAAGACAATGTGAAGACTGGTACTAAGGTAGCAAAGGGGCAGGAAGCAGCAGTGAAGATGCAAACTTAGCAGGAGGAATACAGCTTTTCTAGGAATTTGTAGTTTGCAGTGGACAAGAGAAGTTGGTGTATATGTGAGCAATGTTTTTAAATTAAAAGCCAAATCTATGGGCACTTGCAAATAGTATTTTAAAAACAACGCTGCACTTCTGCAGTAATTCTTTGTGTAAAGGCAATATGGGAATCTGAAGACTGTCAGGAGTATAGGTAGCTGAAATATTTTATGTGCAAATAAAACACTGGATGGGTTTAAGGATATAAAGACTGCTATAAAGATCAAGTGGCTGATCCCAGATTAACTTTGGAGTTTGCCATTGCAGTTTTACAGCTGTGTACAGCTGTGTACAGCTGTCAGTTTAGAAGGTGATAACAGGATAAAGAAATAAATAGCAAAACAGATAAAACCTCTGAATCTTGAGTAATACTTACTTTCAGGTAAAATGAGCTCCATGGCTAGAAGTATTATCAATGAAAACCGTTGATACACTCTTTTTACAGTACTTTTTTTAACCATATGTCATTAGAAGGTGATGAAGGTTCTCTTGGGAGAAGTATGGTTGCTTTAAAGGCATCCTCCCATTTCTAATTAAACCCTTCAGAGTGGCAGTGCTGTCACAGGAGCTGCTGTTTAGCCAGGAAGGGGAACAGCATGTGCTCTCCAAAGTCAACCCAGTCTCGCTCTGAAGGCCTAGCTCATTATTTTCATAACTGTGGGATATTTCATTTGGTCTCTTATCATTCAAAGAGCTGTAAGGAGAACAGTTGCTCTGTGGACTGAAAGGAAGAAGCCAGTTCTTTCCCGTAACATCCTTGGAGAACGGGAATATTTGGGCTAGACCGAAGGCTGCTATTCGTGATAAAGACTAATAATGCATGCATGTTGGGCAGGAGGGAAGGAAAAGCTGATTCCTTTTTATCATTAAAAAATGCAAGGTTTCTGGTTTTCTAGTGTAACTCTGCCAGTCTTGCTGGTATAATCCCCCTTGTAATTGCATGACTGTCATGGAGTGTGGTAGATTTTGAAAATTTCAGGATATCACTCAAAGCTAGGTAATTTTGGGAGTTGCTCATGCTGTGAAATTGTTTTGTGAAAGGTTTGCATGAGATGAATTGCTGTTATTGCCAATGGTTGGTGCTTTCCAAGTCTGCTTTGAAGCCTAGCTAACATTCAGAATGTGGATTATAGCAAAAAGTAGGATAACTGGGGTCTTTTTGTGGTGGTTTTGTTTTTATTTTTCTTTAATTGCAAAGGTTAATCATAATTCTTCTCTTCCCAGTTGTTTTGTTCCAAACCAAACTTTATGCATGGCTGAATATGACCCAACATACAGGTATGAGGTTATGTTTTAGCCCTGCTGGTATCATCCATTTCCAGCAAAGTGTTTCTCATCCAGCACTTTCAGTTCCTGTGCACATACTCCACTGACTTTCTCCTTTAACAATGATTCAACTTGACAGGTCTTTTCTGTTGGGGCATGAACTGTCTGACTATACTTAATTTTTCTGTATTTTTTTCTTGTACAGGGATGGTGTCAACCAAGTTTAAAGATAGTACTGTCTGATTTGATTGTATTTCTTTTGAATTTGATAGCAACATTCTCATAATTTTAGTTTGGATAAATGTAGCCCTAAATTGAAGTTGTTAAAGTAGTATTTTTTTAATTTATTTATCTATGAACTAGAAGAGGTGACTATAAATCTGTATTTGATAGTTTTCTCGAACTGTCAGTTTGGATATAGCCCCCTATGCCCAGGACAAGGCCTGAGATCCTGCTGTGTGTCAGTAGGAGCTGCAGAACAGACTTTGGAAGGCTTGTGAAAAGAACTGGCTGCAAAAGTAGATTTGTGCTTTTCAGTAGGTTTTAAAACACAAGACACCCCCCCCCGCCCCTATTTGAACTGGTAATGCAGCAAAACTCAACTACTTTTTATTCTATTCACTCTTAATAATAGATGTGCTTAGATTTAATTCACATTTAAATAGGAAAAGTCTTTAAATCCATCTTGAAAGGAAATGTAAAATGAATGGCTGTCCCGGTATGTGCTGCAGCACGTACACCTTGGCCAGCTGGTGGGTGCCCCTTCCAGCCCTGGAAAGCTGTGAGTGCCAGGTTTCAGGGCAGGCAGACATCTGACTCTTTCCTTTATTCAGCTGCCAAGTTTTCACAACATGTGTAGGAACTTTGTGGCTTCTTCCCCTGAGTAAAGGAGCATTAAGCTGATCAACAGATTCAAATGATGGGGAGAAGGCAGAAATAACAGAAATTCAGTGTCTCTGCCCCTCTCTAATAAGCTTTGTTTCCTTCGGAAACCAGGCTGAGAGGCATGTCCTCATTTCAGCTTTGTTTTATGCATTGCAAATTTGGAGCTTTGCTCCAAGAAGTCCTTGTTGCATTCATAATCTCCAGTGTGGTGTGCTGAGCCCTAGGGAATTTTTCTTCAGACTAGCATCCTGAGGGATCTTGAAGAATGGGAGCAGTAACATTTTTAGTAATTGGGAATCCCACAGGGAGTGGAATAGGGCCAGTGGGACAAAAAGACCTACTTTGGTAATGTACTCCAGAATCACCAGGTCTACAAGCCCACCCATTTCTCCTGCACACCCTGAAGGAAGGCAGATCAACCAGTCAGGTTACTTCACCTAGGGAGGCACTATATAAATGGGAAAATTAAGGAGGTCTAATGTTAATGATGTTCATGATTTAAGAAATGGTAGAGAAAAATATGTATCACAGGTGTTTAGTTAAGTTTCATGTGCTTCATTGCATGGAAGATCAAACAACAATAATATACCTCAAAAGCAATACTTTGCTGTAGCTCAGAAGGAGCAGACTTCTCTGTCTGTCAC